GTGAAGGAAGGGGTGGGAGCTGGAAGAGAAGGGGTCTGGTATATATTGAAAGGCAGAAAGAACTGTAGTGGAGTCCAGCTGTCTAGGGAAGTACAGACACACCTCCAGGTGACCCCCCAGCCTCAGGTCGGGGAAAGGACAGGCAGAGAAGCCTAGAAAGGCAAAGAAGTTAACGATGTTTGGCTGTCTGGGGGCTTATCAGCACGCCGTGCTGGGGTCAGGCAGGGGTGACATGCTCAGGCAGTCAGGCAGTCAGCAGCCAGGTTCCAGGCTGTGTAGGTGAGAAGGGGTTACATGGGGGCCAGCCTGCCCCATTAACCCACTTGGGACAATACAGCAGCTGGGCTGTGGGGTGGGCATGCCCCTCAGAGCCTCTAGGTAGAAGGAAACAGAAGAAGAGGGTGGCTGGAGAAATATTAACCCACTTAGGTTTCTGTAGAAATGGGGGAGGATGCTTGTAGGAAATGGATGAGAAGCTGGGTGGCTGCTATCCCTTCTGAGTCCCTTCATCCTGATTCACTGCCAACCCCTCAGGTGAGATTGAGAAGGTTCTTGAGTTTCCTCTGCTTTCAGGCTCCAGGTCCCCAAAGGAGAAGAGTTGCTCAGCCTCGTTTGACCATGGGGTGGGGGTAAAATTGGCAACTTCTAGAAATTGAGCAGGGAATGTCCCAGGATGGTTTGCCCAGGTCTTAAAGTGAATTGGGTTGGGATAGAGTAGATTACACTCAGCCCTGAATCTCAATCTTGGGCAGCAGTGGCAGTGACAGGGTGGGTGGGAGCATGAAGATCCCTCTCCAAGTTCTCCCTGTCTAGTGGTCTAGGCTGTGGGGGCCTGGTGGCAGTAGGGATACCTGGGAAGTCGGGGAGTTGCAGGGACATTTCTTGGCTGGGAGAGTGGGGTTGCTAAGCCCAAATCTCTTCACCCTCCTCTGGCCTCAGGCTCCAGGGTTCTGGTGGGGGCAGGGCTCAGGACCTTCCTGCTATGAATCAGGCTTTTGCCCTCAGTACCCAGCCTTCCTCTGCAGGGTAAATATCTTCTACACTTTGGAAACTGGTGGGACAAGAACTTTGAAGGGGTGGTGGGGAGAGAAAAGAGGCAGGGAAGGATTCCAAGAAGAGGGGAAGTTCTGAAATCCTCTTTTTCCTGCCTGGAAACAAGCAGAGACCTTCCAAGCGGTGGTCAGAGGCCTACTTGGGGCTCAGGAAGGAGCTTGGCATGGGGCATTCTTTCTCATAGCTAGAGAAGGGTTCATAAACTCGACTATGGAAATGGTGGGGGAAGTTGGGAGGGCAGCGTAGTGGGGGAAGCAGGAGTGGACTAGTTCCAGATTCCCATTTGTTCAGAATCACTTGATGGACATTTCTCTGGAGAAAGACTGGACCTCTATGAAAGGTTAGGAGCACACACAGCAACTCACCCCAGGATAACAGAGACAATCCCACTTCTTAGGGAGGGACAAAACTTTAAGAAGTGATTACTATAGCTACCATTTTTAATGTTGAAGATGGTGTGCAGGAAACCTTTTCTGTCTCCTATTTCCAACCTATCATTGGGCCAGAGGCCCAGCAGAACAGCAGGAAACTGTGAGAACAGATAGACTCAGGTCGCTGTCCCACCAGCTTCAGGCCCCAGAAAGTGTCTTTATCTCCCTGAGCACAGTCTCTTCAGGAATAGAACACAACTGCAAAGTTGATAACTGGATCAGATAATAATACGATGGTATTCGAGCACTGGTGGAGCCCAGCACTACTTGGTGACCAAAACCAAAAACAAAAACAAAAAAACCCAGAAGTCCTGCCTGCCCCTGCTTCCTCTTGGACCTTGATGAAGCCAAACTGCATGTGTCCTGGAGAAACCCTTAGCCACTTGCCCTCTGCCTGTCCCCACCAAGTAACTAGAGAGACTGAGAAGTGAACCAAAGAAAAAGGAACCCCCAACTCTTTTCTTCTCCACAGCCCCAAAGCAGAAGGCAGGCAGGCAGGGCACAGCTCACTCCCTTTCTTCCGGTGTCCTACTGTGGTCCTCCACACCAGAAGATCTAAGGGTCCTGTAGAGAGGTAGTAAGTAACTGTGGCAGCAGCACTCCTCACACCCCTTTTCTTTGCAGCTAGAAAATGTAGGAGAGCAGCCTGGCTGAAAGTTCTTTCTGGCCTTGGGACATCAGAAGACCTTCCTGGGAGCTGGTCTCTAGACTAGCTACGACTTGGACCCACTCAGCCCCAGTTTCCTACACTGTCAAATTGACATAAAGGCCATTCCCCTCCCTGTTTTCCTCTGGAGTTGCAACAGGAGCAATAGCCTTACACTGATCACCACCCTAGAAACGAATTTCCTGTGTGCAATTCAAGTTCAAAACAACCCTGGTCTGGGAAGGGCAGCGCCGAGGTCCCCCCTCGACTTGGAGTCACCGGCTGTGTTCAGCCTTGCCTGCAACACCGCTTCCTCTCGAGTCCAGTTTTCTCATCCGTAAACGGGGCCCTTATCTCCCTCATAAAGTGGTTTGGGGGGGTGATAAAGCAGACAAAGTGCTTTGCCCCAGTGCTTGGCACATAATTCTCGCTACGCAAACAGCCAGGAAGCTCCTTCACAGGGCGCACAGGAGGGAGCCCACTTCACGCTCCCTCGGGAGACAATTCACCTCTACAGCTTGGGGCATCCGAACCGGAGCTGCAGGGGCCAATCGGGCAGAGGAGCGAGGGAGAAGCGCTTGGTAACAGGCTGCCTGAGCGTTTCCACGAGGGCCTCTGTCCCACTTCTCCCAGCCTAGGGCGGATCCCCTCTGACCCCGCTGGGGCGAAGGCCCAGCCTTTCCGCCGAGAGCTCCTCGGCCCTGCGCTGCCCGCGGCCGCGGCGCCCGGCTCTGGTCCTGGCGCTCGGGCGGTGGAGCGTCTATCTGCGGCCGTGGGGCTGGGGCCCGGCAGGGTCCGGCAAGCACCCACAGAGTAGCTGCTGACCCAGGATCTTTCTCCGCCAAGGGGCGCCGGGCTCAGCGCCCGGAGTCGGCCGGTCCTTCCGGCGGCTGGGAACGGCAACTTGCCCTAGGCGGTGGGGAACGGGATTTTCTTCTCTGTTGTGTCCGAATCTCCAATTCCAGGCAAGTTCCCCACGATGAGCCTTTCCACAGAACCTCTTAATTAGCGCTACGCAAGCCTCGCTCTTTTGTGGAGATGGCCCCCCAACACACTCCACTTGCCCTCCAAGTCCCCCCTTCAGGGATGCGGAAGGGAGATGTTCTGAATCACGCCCTCCACCTTCACTTCCACGGGCCCCTTCTGAAGAAACCCTGGAAACCCTGCAAATGAAAATGCCAGGGAAAAAAGAACTGGCAAGTTGTGTGCGAATCCAGTGAATGATTCCTCTTTACTTTTCCTGTTCTTCCCTCCCTCAAAAACAGAGCTTTTGAGAAATTGTTTCAAACAATCAGGAAACCGCTGAGACATGGAGAGCCAGAAGTGAGCACCCTAACAACCGGTCTTTCTTTTCTCAATGGTAGTCCTTTCCTTAGATATGATACAGCTACTGCGCATCTAAATTTTCACAGGTACACAGGGCCCTAGAGGTACCAAGGGTCTGCAGGGCATAGAGGGGCCTGCCTATTCAGGCTATGTTCAAACACAACCAAATTACAGCATAAAAACAGCACGCCTTAATCCAGATCTCTCACTTTTACATAAAGAGAACACTATTGAAATATCTAAATAATTGGAAATATTTGTAAATATAGTCCTACTGGGCCTCCATTGGTGTTGGTGGGTGTGGTAGACAAGCGCAGAGCTGTGAACTATTTCCTGATTTAAAAACAAAAATGCCCCCCTCCCGCCTTTTCTTCTTACTTACGAAATGGAAAAAAAGAACTCCAGTCTCAGACTATGGGAGCTTTGCTTGTGAAGGGACTGGGGGAAGTGACATGGGGGTGTTTTGGGTGGAGAGGTGGGAGGGTGGAGGGAATGAGAAATACAGCAAACACTGAGTCGGAGGCCCCAGACTAAGGCCTGGGTCTGTGTCTTTGATATCCCTGAGTCTCAGTTTCCACATGTGTAAGATGGAGACAATGTTAATCTCACAGGACGGCTGTAAAGAATCAAAAATATGTGCAAAAAATGTTTTATCATTATCAGCCTTTGTTTGGCCTGGTCCATACTGAAAGGAAACCATAGCAGGGAGGGCAGGGGTCCAGCTTGGGGCCAAGTTCAGGAATGGGAATGAGCATTCATTCTCCTGCCTTAACAAGCAGGCTTAGCTGGCTCAGTGTCACCCTCTGCCAGATCCAAGGGGAAGTGAGAGTCCCCTGTAGCAGGCCTGTCTCAGCCCCTGTTTGCTTTGGCCACAATTGTGATGGCCTTGCTGGCTTTGCCAACAGGATTTAGGTGTTTGCTCTCCCGCCTGGCCTGGCTGCTGAGGCAGCTGGCATTCTGTTCCTGATTATCACGCTGGTTAAATATTTCTCCCTGGAAGAGGGATCTGTCTCAGAGTTGCCTGCTCCCACTAACTTTCTGTTACCTTTGCCCCTTTCTCAGATACATAGGGTCCCATTTTACTATAATTATTATCACATAACTCCTAGGCTTGGGAAAACAGGTGGTGTAGGGATATCACAGTCTTTCCCTTTAAAATGACTGCCCAAGAAGTACCTATCCAAGGACGAAGAGGAACCAGGAAGTACACCAGGAAAAGAAAAGAGACAGAGTCAGAGAAACCAGGCGCCAACTCTTTAAAGAATTCCCTTTGCTTTCTACAGGACTTTCCTCGATTTGTGGGGACAGTAGCAGGTACTAGGGAGTAAAGGGGAAGAGGATCTCTGATGAAGATCACTAGATCAGTCAGAACTGGTGGTTGGGAAGAGTTGTGGCAGAAGTATGATAGGAGGGTGCCTGATGGGAGGGACAAGGGCTCAGAACAATCACATCCCCTCCCACACCCAAGGTAACTCTCGAAGCCTCAGCCACAGTGTGCATTCAGGAGACATGAAGTACCCTCCACATGACACACTGTCCACTTGGCTTTCCCAGGCTGCTAGTTAATGACTTAGAGTCATCACTGGGGAATGCAAAATAATTGAAAGCAATGCTTAGTAAATTGCAGTTTCAAGGTTTTCATTGCCTTCCTAACAATTTGCAAAACCCATTTTATTGCTTTTTCGGATTCCTCGAGTGGAAATACCACTGTGTGCTGTAATTAAGCTAAGTGACATGCCAGCTGTAAAGAGAGGGCTGTGAATGATTACATTCAGCTCATGTACTCATCCAGGATGGGTGTGTTATAAGGGGGAGGACGCTTGCAGCAGCTGCCAATCTTCCTTACTTACATTTCCTACCAGGGTAGAAGAAAAACCAGAATCCAAAATCACCTGTTTAATGCCAGGAAGAATTACCCAGCCTCTCAGAGGTGGGTTGGGGGCTGTCCAGCATGGGGGTTAGCCAGATAAGTGGCTCCTGAACCTGGCTGTGCATCAAAACTCCCTGGTGAGCTTTTAAAATCCATGTCAATCTCCTCCCTCACCCAAATCGATGAATTAGGTCTAGGGAGAACCACATGTTTTTTAAGCTGCCCAAATAGTTCTGATCCTGGGGATGAGAGGGCCTGCCTATTTCAAGGTGACTATTTTTAACAAATTGATCTTCAGAAATGTTACTTTTGCACTTGGAAACTCCTTCAGTGTTGTTCTTTTAAATCCATCTAGGGACAGGAATTCATCCAACTGCTTCATGAAACAGATACCCTGATCTCTCATCCTCCCAAAGCACTTTGTCCTATTTTCTTTTAGGGCACTCAGTTCTTTTGAAGTCTGCTCTATTTTTCCCTTTCCCTTTCCCATGCATCTAGCTGCCAAGTTCAGCTCTATGATGATTTTCTTCACCTGCCTCCTCCTCTTTCCTGCTTTCCCAGCTTTGTTGAGATGTACTACGCATCTGCTTCCTTTTCTTCCCCACAGCCATCCATCCTGATAGAGACTGCAAGGGCCTGAAGCCTGGACCATGGTATGAGCCTCCTAACGGCTCTCCCATCTTTTTCTCTCCCCTTGCCAAGCCATTCCACTAACTACTACCAGATTCATCTTCCTAACACTAAATAAAATCTCTCATTCACAAACCTTGAGTAGTTTCCCACTGCCAACTGAGTTATGTAAACATTTCCCAGGGTAACATTTTAGACTTCCCACAATATTAATTCATTTGGTGAATATTTACTGAATTATGGCTTAGGTACTAGTCTAAACTAGTGAATATAACAATGTAAAGAAGCTGGGCGTGGTGGTTTGTGCCTATAATTCTGTGCTTTGGAAGACAGGAGGATTGGTTGAAGGCAGGAGTTCGAGACCAACCTAAGCAATAAAGTGAAACCCTGTCTGTACAAAAAAATTAGCTGGGCATGGTAGCATGTGCCTGTAGCTCCAGCTACTCTGAAGATTAAGGTGGGAGGATCTCTTGAGTTTGAGGCTGCAGTAGGTATAATTGTGCCACTATACTCCAGCCTGGGCAACAAGTATGACCTTGTTTCAAATAAATAAATAAATAGAGATGTAAAGACATGGTACATTCCAGTATAGAGACAGCCATACAAACAAATCATTATCATGGGCAAGTGACATGAACAAAGAGCCCTCAGCTCTCTAAGATGGTCTCTTAAGCTATCTTTCTATCTTCTCTCAATTTTCCTTTCTGATCCAGCCAAATTGGACTAGCCTTTGCCTCTTTATCATGTTCACAGTTATTTTTATTTTCTTCCAGGCCACTATACCTCAGTTCACACCTTATATCCACTTTTTTTTTTTTTTGAGACAGTCTCTGTCACCCTGGGTAGAGTGCTGTGGCATCCTAGCTCACGGCAACCTCAAACTCTTGGGCTGAAGTGATCTTCTTGCCTCAATTTTTCATTGTTAGTAGAGACAGGGGTCTTATTCTCTCAGGTTGGTCTCGAACTCCTGAGCTCAAGCGATCCACATGCCTCGGCCTCCCAGAGTGCTAGGATTACAGGCCACCATGCCCGGTCTTATATCCACTTAAAAAAATCCAATTTATCCTTTCCTGCCACCACCTCAAACATCACCTCTTCCAGTGAAGGGGATTTAATCCTCCCAGCTGAAAGTGAGGGCATTTCTTTCTCATCTACTGACAATCTTTTTGAGCGGCATTTAACTCATACTAGTCATCTTCAGCTGGGTGCCTGTGGCTCAAGTAGCTAAGGTGCCAGCCACATACACCTAAGGTGGCAGGTTCGAATCCAGCCTGGGCCTGCCAAACAACAATGATGGCTGCAACCAAAAAATAACCAGGCATTGTGGCGGGCACCTGTGGTCTCAGCTACTTGGGAGGTGGAGGTAGGAGACTTGCTTGAGCACAGGAGTTGGAGGTTGCTGTGAGCTGTGATGCCATGGCACTCTACCTAGGAGGACAGCTTGAGGCTCTGTCTTAAAAAAAAAAAACCTAGTCATCTTCCTCCACTGTATCCTCCACAGGGGCAAGGACTGCCACAAGCATTCTTTTGTCCCCCAGAAGCATTCAGCAAACAGTTGTTCTGTGTGGGCTAGGAAGGCAGCCTGGCATTTCTTCCTTCTCCTTGGATAACCCAGAGCTATTAAAGCCTCTGAGCAGGACCTGCTACAGAATTGGGTGGGTCCAGGGTGAAATAAAAATGCGGGGTTCCTTGTTCAGAAATTATTCAGAATT